GCTAGCAGTGATCCAGATCAATAATGTACAAGCTCCATTGTCCAAGGTATAGAATTTTCAACATTGCAAGTCAGGACAAGAACTGGCTTGGGAGGGAGCTGAAGGCACTTTGTTTTCTTATTTTGCTGCCGAGTTATTTCAAAGAGAGACGGGATAGACTACTTCACACATGGAACATTTGAGATGATAATCTCTTCAGCCAAGGCTGTGATTTGACACTCATTGGATGAAGCATAATAGTTACTGCAGTGAACTCAGGTTGAAAAGCAACACAAATTGCTGCGTGAGTTTAGAAAGTAGACACCAAATAATAATCAACCATATGTTGTATGTTAAAAGATGTTTTGCTCACAATTTGAGAGGCACATAGAGAAAAGTATAATAGCAAAAGACGAGGATGGCCTCATAGTGTTTGTTGGCATGTTTTCCTCTATATAGTCCCTGTTCATTTCAGGCTGCTGCTTCCTTGTTGCAATATAACAGCTGGGGGTGTTGATCTTACTTTAAAAATAATTGTATTGGGGTCAAGTTGTACACTTAAATACACATACACAATTGTCATTTTCATCAAGGGATTTATATGTCTAACTCTAGGGAAAAAATTAGGCTTATATTGTGTTAATGTTTTATACTGTGTATTTTTAAAGCACTTGTTTAATGAATATTCTTATAAGCCTTCTATTATCAGCATAATAGCTTGATAGGTTTTGTTTGCTTGCTTCTTGCTTGCATTGCCCTGTGCAAGGTAAAAGTATCATGGAGTCATGGCTGAGACTTCATAGATAAAGGTTTAAGATAGTTTCCTTTCTAAACCCACTTTTGATCACCCTGCTTCACACAATTTTAAAAAGTCTAGTTGCAGCATGACATTTTGCATGCTTTTCATATATCAGAGGAGACTGCATTTTTGAACTGTGGAGAATAATTCTTCACAGGCAGAGAAATGGACACCATATGTGACCTAACAGGTCTTTTCACACTATTTATATAGATATAGATATTTAGACATAGATAGATAAAGATGTATATAGAGAAAGCTTCCTTTCTCCGAGGGGAAAAAAAACCCAACCCCACTGGGTTTTGCTTTGTTTTTATTCTGGAGTTTGTTGATTATTTTTACTTTTTTAATGTCACTAAAGTATTTACATGAAAAGTAAACATACTTGAAAGTTTGTTACTAGAAATAGACTCTTGTTTCAGTCTGTTAATGAGACACTCTCTTTCCAAAACTAAAAAGGGAAAGTGATAAAAAATTGTTATTTCTACTAGGCCAATTAGAGGAGGAAAAACAAAGTTATAGATCTGTCACGAAACCTAGAAGGGAGATATGATGGGTAGAACCATGAATGACTGAGGGGAGTATGGATGGAATTAACTGCCATTGGATATTGGAGAGATGGGTGCGTAAAGTTATAAATTATTAGGAGGCTTATTCAGTAGAATCTAGCATTCGATGGAAAGTGTGCAGAAAATCTGAAAATGCGGTTTTATGTAGAGCTGGCCTGCTCATTTTAGTTTTAGTTTTCAGAGTGTTTAATTCATTATGTGGTTGTTTCTCATTTTCACAGTAGTATATGTGAAAGCTGCTGATCAATACTGCAAACAGTTTATTATTGGTTAACATACCTAAATTGATTGGACTGAAATAATTAAAACAGATCATTTTTCTTCGATATATTGAATTGGAATTGTTAAATAGCGAGATAAATAATTCAGTCATATTTCAAAAACTGCAGAAAATCAGTTTCTTGATGATTAATTGAAGTTGAAGAATAGAACATTTCAAAAGACTCTGTCCTTCTGTCTAGCCAGCTCACCATCAGTAGAGTATGATTTTAGCACATAAGAATTGGTTCGGTCAAAACTCGCAATAATCTAGGGCCTACAGTTTTAATAGAGACTAGTTATTTTGTGTGCTTAAGTTTTTGGTTGTCCAATCTGGGACAATTTAAAGGGCCCTGGTTTTCAGAGAGTGGATACTCAGTGCTTTCTGAAAAACGCATTTTTAAGGCATTTGGTGATGTTGGATGCCCAGTTTGGGTCATATTTGAAAATAGAGACCTAGGCACCAAAAGAAAGAAGTTGACAAAAGTGTTGTTGGTATATAGGTAGGGTTACCACATTTGCACAGTCAAAAAAGAGGACACGGGGGGAGGAGCCCCGCTCTAGCCCCGCCTCTGCCCTGCCCCGCCCCCATTCACTCCCTCCCACCCCCTGACTGCCCCCCTCAGAACCCCCAACTCCCCCCTGCTCCTTGTCCCCTGACTGCCCCCTCCTGGGACCCCTGCCACTAACTGCCCGCCTAGGACCCTACCTGTCCCCTGACTGCCCCGACCCTTATCCACACCCCCACCCCATATTCACACCCCCGCCCCCAGACAGACCCCCGGGACTCCCATGCCCTATCCAACTGCTCCCTGCCCACTGACAGGACCCTCAGAACTCCTGACCCATCCCACCCCCTCTGCTCTCTGCCTGCCTCGACCCCACTCCACACCCCTGCCCCTCTGAGAGCCCCCCCGAACTCCCGATCCATCCAACTCCCCACTCCCTGTCCCCCAACCAGGGCCGGCTTTAACAAGAGCCCAGGAATCGGGCTGCGCTCCGGCCGGAGTTGCGGGGTTTGAGGCCAGGCCGGAGGTGCTCGGCCTGGGCCGGGCCGGCCGCCCTGGGGCTGGAGCCGCTGGGGTCAGGGCCGGCGCGCTTGGCCGGAACCGGAGCTGCTGGGGCAGGGGGTGCTCGGCCGGCGCTGCTCAGCCGGAACTGGGGCCGGTGCCGAGCCGGGCCGGGCTGGAGCCACTGGGGCCGGAGGTGCTCGGCCGGGGCCAGGGCCGGCCACCCTGGGGCCCAAGCCGGGCCGGAGCCGCTGGGGTCAGGGCCGGCGCGCTCGGCCAGAACCAGAGCCGCTGGGGCCGGGCCGGGCCGGTGCACTCGGCCGGAACTG